AAAATGGAACTGTTGAATGAGGGTTTTAAGATGTGTTGAAGTACAATAAAAAACTTTTAAGGCCAAACAGATTAATTAAAATGTTATATCAGGTAGACATCATTTTAAAATGGTGAAAAATGTGGTGAGTCTGTGTGATCATTGCCCTGTGGATAATATGATTCAGAGCAAGGTTTTCACAGGTCATGACAAGCAAGGTTGGGTGAAACTCTTAAGGCGAATGGTTTAAAAAAAAAAAACTGCTTCCAGTGTGAAAATGTATTATGCTATATTTCTCTGTTTAACTATAAGTTGTTGTTTGTATCAAAACATATCAAATCCCACAGATCTCAAGCTGAAAGTAATTAAATTTTGATTTACAGGTGGAAATTAATAAAGGTTTCACTGAGGTGGTGAAAACTAACATTTAATTTTCAGGACAATACATGAGGTCAAAATAATGTCAATAACTGTGATGTATGATGTGTTTTTCTGTCTGCGCAAGCGTAACCATTTCCTTTTCAGGATTTATGATATAGTTTAGAACAGCTTTAAGGTTCAGATGACTTGTTGATGGCAGCTCATTTAAGGAAGATTTCAAATATGGGATGTTTAATCTTTGCAGAATGTCCTTTCTGGTTGGCATTTTATTAACACACCTGGCTGCTCCAGACCAGCCACCTGCCAAAATCTCAAATAAGCTGACAATGGAGTGCATTTAAAAAACAAGAACTGCCTGCAAATTCACTTACCCATTTCTATGTAAGCAGTAAAGTAAAGACAGATTTTTGTTTGTTTCTGCATTTTGGCCTTGTTTTTTTATAGTTTACTTTTTTTTAATGATGACACAATGTAATATGCCAAGAGTTGTCATTCTTTTACAAAAAGTGCTTACCTCATTACAAGTTCAATAATTTTAAAAACTGTGTGATGTTTTTTTTTTCATATCTGTATGTTTAACATGATCCGAAACAAAATTTTATCCAAAGCTTTTTAAATTTTTTTTATTTAATATCAATAATTTAGAAACTTCTTAATGCTTTTTTGCACACAGATTATGGTGCGGAGTGTGACTATGTCTGGGAGGCTTTTAGCAGCAACGCAGAACCCAATGATTTGTTTCAAATRATGAAGAATGGGTGCATTATACTCCACACAGGAGGACAGAGCTGATCAACCTGCTGTCTGTTTGAAGTGGGCAGCCTGGATAAGTAATTATACAGATGCATCATTTCGAGGGTTTTCAGACTGCACATGCAGGTGATGTGAACGCAGAGCGTTAATATCTGTAATCTCACACACCTGCAGAAGTTTAAATTTAACGTTTCACGCCAGTTTTACCTGCAAGAAAAGATGGTTACTCTGTGTCCCACAAACCCACCCCYGCTGACCCGGATGAAAACTGACGAYGACGAGCACAGACTGAACGCTGACTTTTGTACGGGACGTTCTGAGTGAGAACAAACCACACGACACACGGCTGCACAACAGGAGGGATTTTGACTACATTTAGACAACAGTCTCAATTCAGACTTTGTGAAGTTGATGTTTGTGAAAAAAGATATGCCTATGTAATGTTTTACCTGCAGTAGATAATTTTTTGAAAGCCTTTAGTTTGGAGAAATAGCTTAGTTCATTGCAAATTAATCTTATGGCTGGTCGAAGCCAGACAAAAGTGGTTTGCTGTCATCATAAAACAAATCCAATCTTAAAATGTTTAACGGTAGTTTATAAACTTTTAAAACTGAAAAAATTGTCCATCTAAACAAGTGTTATATTCTTAAGCCCCAAAAATACTTGTTTTGAGATAAATTAAGCAAAAGCAGAATATGTTACATACATTATTAATTTTGTTAGCTGGGGATTTTTTCCCACTTATTTCAAGAAGTGCAATTATTTTAATGCACTGGCAGATTATTTTACTTCAAGGAGACATCCTTCTTTTTATGTTTAAATCATTCAGTTTGGGTCTATACAAAGTGGAACTGCAAAGCTTTGGCACTCAGGGACGCCATATTGGTCTGCATTCC